ACAGGTGCTCTTGTTCTTCCTTTCAACAAAGAAGCAAAGTTGGTTGGAAATATTTTAATTTCATTTTGGTTCATTCTTTGGTTATAATAACTTCAAAGGAAATTCTTTTTTCCAGAGTGCTTTCTGCAGATGAAGCCACCTCATTCTACTCGACCAACACAGTATCCTTTTCTTATATTGTTACATTTTGCAGAATTCAAGTTAGATATTGTTCTTTGGATAAATGTGGTGTAATATTTATTGAAAATTAAGTTTGTAACTTAGCACTGGAAGGTGTCCCTTTTGCAAAACATCAAACTATGCTGTGGAGTATCGTGGTGTGAGGACAAAGGAAGAAAAGGGTATCGAACAAGTGGTAAGCTTCGCATGGCAGTTTATTTTTCATAAACAGCAGTCTTGTTTGGTTGAGATCTTGGATGGCTATTTATTCTTTCCAGTTAACAAGTTTTACTTGGTTGTTTGTCCTTCTCTGATTTACAAAAATTTTAGTGGACAAAAGAAAGTGCTTATACAGTTTATTGGGAGTAGGTTCCACATCCTCTTTTACATTGTTTCCATTTAACTGCAGGAAGAGCAAAAAGTTATTGAAGCACAAATAAGGATGAGGCAACAAGAACTTCAGGATGCAGAAGAAAGAATGCAAAAAAAGCATGATCTGAGTTCATCCAGCAGAATAATAAATGTTGGAGAAGTCGAATATCAGGACGTGGCAAACAGTGCAGGTTGACTGCTTCAGCTGTGTCTTGGGCTTATGATTTTCCTTATGTTGTGACATCCATTCATCTAGATATAAGGGCTGACATTACATAATTCTCTTCCCAGTACCATCTTTTAGATACTCGGGACAGGGCAACGAGATTGCTCCTTTTGAAGGCTCATTTTCTGCGCCAGAAAGCAGGCAGTCTTCACACATAAGGCAAAGCAGGTGTGGTCATGCAGCTTCTCTTCTTGTTTATTTACCCCACCTGTAGAATTTTGTGTTGTGTGCATTTGGGATTCATCTTTTCTTATAACAATGATGTGAAGTTAACAGCTGAATGAATTTTATTGGCTGTATTGATTAAAAGGATTCCTGTAAGTGACCCAATTTTTTTCTTGGAAAAGGTGTTGTCTGGTTAGTGAAATCGTAGTTTGATATGACCCTACATTGGATCTTGAACTTTATGAGTTGTATTCATAGTTTGGACTTGAGCCTTATTTGGCTTTGTTCAATGATTTTAAAAAAATATATATTCTGAATTGTTAAAAAGTACTGGTGCTCTTATTCTTCTTTTTTTTTGCTAACTTTTTTTTAATTTCCTTCGTTTCCAATAGGAAGTGTTAAGGATTTGTTGAATTGACGTGCCATTTAATTTACTACTTGTACTGTTTAAAGATCGTCACTTGTTTATGGTTCAGAATACTGTGATTTCTGCATCTTAAACATTTAGGGTTTGTTCTATTTCATATATTGGAGACGTTAGTCAAGAACAAAATCTTGTTTCCATGGTCGATAGTTCCCCCCCCCCCCACCCCCCCCCTAATTGTGTTCATATATTCAGCATTGCATCAGATTTGAAATTTATTTCTGCATGGAAAGGATTACATCCTTCCGTTTTCGCTGTCTGCTGAGCTCTTCAGGTCTTAAGTATCTTACAATTTGATATTTTATAATAACATGTCATTTCTGTTTTCTCTGATCTGTGTATTTCTTCTTCAAAGTTCAATATTGCTTTCTGTTGCCATGTTTTTGTTTGAATTACTTTACATATCTATTGCATGTTTTTTATTGTTCATCGCCCTTTCATCATCGACTCTGGAGCATGATAAAATTAATAATTATCTATACTCTTTGCGGATTGATTCGCATCATTTAATGCTGGAACAAAAATGATTTTTGGTGGTTTCTTTGCACTGGTTACCTGTCCAGATGGATACTAGGCTTTTGCTGCTGGGAAATGTTACCTAGTTCTTAGTTTTAGTTTGTTATTCTAGAAGTGGCTTCTTTTCTTTCTTCCCTATTTGCTTTTATTCCCTATTCATGCGTCAGCTAGTTTCCACCTTTCCAACATATTTTAGCAGGTTCTAACCAAATGATGCACATGGCATGCAGGGAGGACAATTTCGACCTGGATCTTGATGATATTATGGTGATGGAAGCTGTCTGGTTATCTATTCAGGTAATTTAGTTATCTATTCGGGTATTTCTTATAAAATTTTGTTATGTGTGAGATCATACAGATTGCAATTGCAATCATACATAAATACACACCCATGCACCCCTGCACACGCAGACAAACCCTGCACACACCCACATACCCACCTGTCCACCACCCCCAACACACCACACGCACACACGAACACATAATTATGCACTTGCAGACACATATAAGTGTATGTGTGTATATACGTAATATATAATCTACATACTTACATTTTCATGTACATAACACATGCATATATGCGTGCATGCACACATGCATGATATCATTTTCATGTTATGTTCGTTAAAGCTCATCAATACCTGTACACTGCACAAGAATTTTTAGGCCTCATTCATGTTAACCGCTTTGATGAAGGCATCATTTTAGATATTTACGGCCAACTGTAAAGGCTTGTTTCCTTTAATTTTCATGAAAGACATAGCATACCTAGAGTTTCATATGATTCAAAATAATAATTTTGGTTCTGATCCTCTTATTCGTCTGCATTACTAGGAGTGGTTATTTCAGATTACATCTACAAGGTACCTTATTTACATCAGCTATAAGAGTATTACAAGAGAATATATATTGTGTTATGTTTTTTGCATGTGAATGAAATGCAATGACTTAGATTATGACAATTATTTTACATCTTTGAAATACGGTAGAACTTTCCAAGGAAAGATCAACCCAGAATCCTTTTCCCCTTTTTTCCTTGTTTCTTACGCTTTAGGGACAATAGCAAAATCCGTAAAATGTACCTCTCAATGATTTACCAGACATGTCTACCTTCAAGCTAATTTACGCAGTGCTTACAGTGAATAGAGAAGTAAAAGCATGTTGTAGCTTTTGTTAGGAGGCTTCTGAAAAAGTTGACTCATGCAACTATCAACATTGTTTCTTCTAGGTTTTTCTTTTAAAATTCTTCCACTGAAGCTCCTTTGCTTCAGTTTGAGGATTGCAGTTTCTTTATTGATGGAGTCTGTTAGCCTCATAGGCTAAATAAAATATGATACCACCACTCTTCACTCCTGTTTATAGATTGCTAATAACCCATACGCCCCTCCAACCCCCAAATGTTGTGTTATTTAATCTTTCGGAATTAACCATACTAGAGGAAACATGAATGAGGTACTCTTACTCAAATTGTTTTTGTGCGAATTAGTTATCCCTTTAAACTTAGATAACCTTTCTTTTAGTGTTGTTCCTTCTATTCTTGAAAGATGCTGTAGAATTTTCAAACGGGGCATCAAACGTGGGGGAATTCATTGTTGTTTCTTGAAAAGAGGATCAGATCTGTGAACTCCTTCAGCACCCTTCTTTTAAATCTCAAGGCTATGGTCTAATCATGAGGATAGTATTTATCATGGTGCTGAATCCAAAGTTTTTATGAGTTCCTTGTTTATTTTACATTGGTCGAACTCCAAGCCATAATGTTTCAAAATAAATAACCTCTAGAGAAACTTTACTTTTTTCCTTTGTTTTGAATGCCGTGGGTTCCTAGCCGCAAACTGGTCAACCAGGATATATGGCAAGCCTCTTTTGTCCATATCTACCATGGACAAGCTAATCTTCTACGTACGTAATGATCCAAGTTAAGTTCATCCAATTTCAAATAATGGGATTCTAATCTCAAATGCAAAAGTTCCTACCTGGGTGCCACATCAGTGGAAAATATGTGCCATGCTCTCATATGGATCTTTTTCCTTGAATGGTTCACATTCATAAATGCTACAAAAGCTATCATTGATTATTAGGCTTCTAGCTTTTCATACTTCAGTTATATAATATATATGGATTTTTCATTCTTGTAAATTATTGTTGTGGTAACTTTAACTTTCACTAGTTCCATCCTTCTATTTCCTTACCTAGTTGCTAACTTCTCGTATAACCCGAAATATGGGAATAATAAATTTGAGAATGAGAGGTGAAGAAAAAAGTTAAAAGCATGAGTAAGAGAGATGAGAGAAATCTCAACTATTCATTTCAAATCAATAACTCCTACTTTTTCATCGTAGTTGAATAACTCTACATAAAACTGAATAACTGAAATAGACAAATATGATCAAATATCTAAAATAGATTGATTTTATCAAATTAAAATAATTCCAGATATAATCTTCTGAATCATTCGTAATTTCTCATACAACCTTAAGACAAAATATTAATCCTTCAAAAATTTTGTGTTGTTCTTTACATATCAACCATAACCACTTGGAGCGAAAGCAATAAGGTCTCAGGGTGTGTTACGAACAGCTACCTTTGGTAAATCATGTTTGCAGGTGATTAACCTTTAGATGATTTTAGCAGGTCAGCATGGACCTTAACAAGTGAGAGAAGCTTGCTGTCCTTTGGCACTACCAACATTTGTCACTACACCAGGATTGAATGCATGTATGCACTGATCTGAACTTATAATGTGTCTCTGGTTTCCAACAATTAATTTGAAATCTAATGTAGATTAAGTAAGATTGCTGCAGATATAAGGTTCATGCTAGAAATGGGTTAGCCAACTTAGATGGGTTCTCTCAAAAGTCAAAACTATCTATCTTGAATTTATGCATAGGGCTTTGAGGATGTTGCTGTTCTTCATGAGTTGGTGTAATTTGAATGTGATTGTTGAGAAGATTTGAAATAGTGTTTTAACAAGGGGTCAGGTTGCCCACCTGCTTAATTCTTGATGGTGCCTAGGCAAACATGAGCCATTTACGGGTGCTTACGACATCAAAATATGGTTTATCGCCTGCTTAAACATAACAACATGTAAAGAGAACGGGTTAGATTAAAATGGATGAGATCAAAACTCGATCCAAGTTCATCTCAGCTAAATAGTGAGGATAGGTTTTGAAACTTCAAAGTAAAAAGAAAAAAGATCCTTATTCTGACACCTAGAAGTGCCTACGATTTTCTAAAACATTGATCTAGAAGTGAAACTATCTTGGCTCTAAATGCTCTGTATTTATATTTTTTTTGCTGACCATGAGACGGGTTTATTAGGGGATGTATGTGTTGTTTGAGTAGGATTTCTTTCTATAAGAATCCGTTATACCTCCCTTACCCTATTAGCTTTTCAAGCCTCTGCTAGGCTGCTATGCTCCATCTATTCGTTGATGATGACAAACTCCTGTCCTGCATATCTAAGCATTGTTCTGCAGTGGAAAGGAAAGGGGTAAAAGTTAGAAGAAGCTTATGTCCTTGAGGTTTTAGTAAGTAGTTGCATGGAGGAGGAAGGGTATTTAGAAATGGAGAAGTCCATGTGTTTATGGTGTAGTGGACTAAAGTGCCGTTTGGCAAAGGGTTAAGAGTGGAGGGTTAAGGAGAAGGGTTAACTTAGTTAACCATTCATTAGGGGTTAAATTAATTAAATTCTTTTTGGATTACATAGTTATGATGAAAGGTTAACCTTTTTGTGTTTGACATATGATGAAGGGTTAAGAGGGTTAGGTTAATCCCTAAAAAAAAGAAAAACTTAACTTTGTTAACAATAGAAAAATTACTATTAATTAGTTTTTCAAAATAAATTGATGTTGAATTGTTTCCATATGATTATAAAAATATTTTTATTTATGCATTATTTAATTTAAATAAATGATTGTTGAGAAGCAAAATAAAAATCAGCTATAAGTTAGTAAAAGATAGTAACTATTATTATAGAAGTTCCAATCCTATTCAATATTCCATACACCTCGACGAGTATAGTCACAAGCATATTGTTAAGATTTGGAGAAGAGTTTTTTTGAAGAGAGTTCTCCTCACTCTATACTTTATTATTTACAGAGATGGATTAATTACAAGTTAGTCTCACAGACAATGTGGGACTAAACCAATGCTAAATTAATATTCTCTTCTAACACTTCCCCTCAAGCTGGAGTATATATATCTTGCATGCCCAGCTTGTCACAAATAAAGTCAATTCGTGTTCGACCAAGTAGTTTTGTAAGAATGTCTGCCAACTGATGTACTGTCGATACATGTTTTACCGTGATGGTTTTGTCCTCGCGCTTCTTGCGGATTACATGACAATCGACTTTAATCTGCTTGGTTCTCTCATGAAACACGAGATTCTCAGTAATGTGAATTGCTGCTTTATTGTCGTCATATAGATCCATAAGACCTTTTGGAGGGAGACCCATCCCTGTCAATAGGTCTCTGATCCAAACCATCTCTAGTGTCACATTTGTCGTAGCTCTGTATTTTGATTCTGCATTGGATCGAGACACAACACTTTGCTTCTTACTTTTTCATGATACCAGATTTCTTCCAAGGAAGACACAATATCCAATAGTCGATCTCCTATCAAAAAGACATCCAGCCCAATCTGCATCAGAGAAGCCTGCAACTCTGGTGTCCTTGATATGAGTAGAGAATTCCTCGTCCTGGAGCCTTGTTCAGGTACTTCAAAATTCTCATTACTACATCCAAGTGAGTAATTCTTGGTGCGAATGAGTAGAGAATTCCTCGTCCTGGAGCCTTCTTCAGGTACCTCAAAATTCTTATTACTGCATCCAAGTGAGTAGTTCTTGGTGCAGATAAGAACTGACTCACAACACTGACTGCGAATGTGATGTCAGGTCTGGTCATCGTTAGATAATTTAGTTTCCTCACCAATCTTCTATATCACCTAACATTCTCAAGAAGCTCCCCCTGATCTGATAGTAGTTTTGAGTTCACATCCATTGGAGAGTCACTGCTTCTGCATCCTAACATCCTGATTTCTGAGAGCATATCCAGAACATATTTTCTTTGTGATAGAAAAATACCCTTCTGTGACTTTGCAACTTCAACACCTAGGAAGTATTTTAGGGAACCAAGATATTTGGTTTGGAAATGTGTCTGTAAATACTTCTTCAGGTTGTCAATACCAAAAGTATCATTCCTTGTAATTACAATATTATCTACATAGACAACAAGCATAATTCGTTTCCCATTATGAAATCGTCAGAAGACAGAGTGATCTTTCTGTACACGATAAAACC